GGGGCGGGCTGCCGGGGCGGGCAGAACTGGCGGCCTGGGGAGGCCAGCGCGGCTGTCGTCTTCTGGTCTCGGTGCAGCGTGGTGGCATGAAGCAATGCCGCGCGGAGCCGTAATCCCTTGATTATTTATTTTTCCCCCTCTTGCTACAAGCTTTGTAGTTTACTCAGGTGGGATTGCGTGTCAGTTTATACCCACGGCACGTGAAAATACAGCACATCGCCATGCCTGACACGTTAAGCCCCAAAGCGGTGATGCCTCCCTCGCACGAGGAACGTGCATCTGCACATTAAATGCAATTAATCCCGTGGGTTAGTCCGGTTATGGCTCGTGCTGGGAGTGTTCCTTTGTATCTTTGTTGTTTACCATTATTCCTCTACGCAAAGCAAAATGCCACTTTGGAAATAAAAATACTTAGGGTGTTCTCTTGATGAGAACTCATTTTCACAATTATGATCTAAGATAAGGCAGAGACTTAAAATGTAGTAAGCAATGAAAGTCAGCTGTATTTCCTTATAGAGAACTGAAGTCCCTAGTTTTGCCATCAGCGCAGACAGAGACTGTTTTCAACCTTCTGACGAACAAAAGGTGCCAAATCTCAGGGAAAAAAATAGCAGTTACTCTGAAACTGAAGCTTTCTGATACGTTACTATTAAAAAACTCAGATGGGTGGCACCAGCTTTCTTAAACATCCTTTTAAATCAGTGCGAACACAAGGTTTTTACAGGCACATGTAAACTGGTAGAAAGCTACTGCACTTTTAGTAGTGTTTATTTGATATGCAGGTACATAGGTATTTACATGGTAATAATAAAGCTGTCTGTCAGTTTTCTGAACTTAAATACTGAATTTTCATGAACAAACCAGATTGCTTTTTGATGTCGCATTTATCATTAGTGAAGAGGTACAGATTCAACTCAGTGTTTTTTTGCTGTATAATTCTGAGTTAAAGCTTTTCCAAGTCTCGAAGTAGTGATACCTATAGATAGCTGAATTAGAAACCTACTAGTAAACCCCAAGATTTCCCACTATGATGACTGATCTCATCTAAAAGATGAGAAGTCAGCAAGGCCTGACGTTCTACTTGTTTTCAGCCACTGAAGATTACATTCACTTTTTGCAATAAAAGAAAAATGGGGGGTTTAGTTTGTGAAAATCCTGAACTGTGCAATTATATTTTGTCAACTCGGTTTCCTAAATGGTCCTAACTAGTAGGAAATTTGTCACTTCCCATTGTGTAGTACGCATTCTATATGTTCTGCTCCATTATAGTATAGGTTTATTTTTTAAAAATTTTTTTTTAGTGATCAATGAAAGTGTTTTTCGTAAATAGTGGGCTTTGTGGTGTGTTTTGCACAGAGAATTCCTACATTATGGATGCAGAATATAGCAACTCAGTGGGTATTGTAAAATATTGTGAAAAGAGCAACAATTAAATGTAGAATCACATCTATAAATACAGATGGAATATTAGAGGAGACGAAATCAGATGAGTTTCAGGAAGATATATAGTAATTCTTGGAAGTTTGGGCTTCATTATTTTGTTTTCCTGGTTATTCCTGATGGCTGGAATATGCCACTGTTCCAAGTATGTATTTTTGTCGTTCCTGGATTGCTTTATATTAAATAGCATGGAAGAGATCAAATCTGATCAGGCAAAAATGCATTTTACAGGACTAATCTTAGTAATAACTTCTTTTATTCAGATTGAGGCACTGTGGTTGCTGAACTTTGATGTAAGATTAAATCTCTCCTATTTTAAGGTGAGATTATACTGAGTAAACAACCTTGTTCTTACCCTTGTTGATTAATGATCTATATTTACAGGAGTCTAATAGTTGCTTTAATGCACCATGTCAAAGGTCATGTAATTCTAAATTGGGAATGTTTATAAAATAATAGCACTATGATTAGAGGACTTTATCTTTTAATGTTATTGCCACAAGAGGATAGACTTTTACTGAATAAATAGGGGTAAATAGAAAATGATGCACTCACTGGTGAATTTGGCACATCTATGCATTTTACAGAGAGTGCTGGTAGACATGAGGTGAGCCTAGCCTTTGGAAAGGTGTTTGTTCCATTATAAGCAAAAGTATCTGCAAAATTAATTTACCTAGTTTTTTTCTGGTGTGATTTATTTAACCTTTGACTATAAAATTATTTCCATAATTGGAAATTGGAACAGGTATGCGCTTTACTTATTTTGCTGTTGTGTTCTATATTGTGTCTCATATTTTTTGTTTTAAATTTAAGAGCACTTCAGCATTTCATTTCTTGTTTGTAGTTATTTTTTCTGACGGGTGGTTGAAATCACTCGCCTAATCATAAGAGACTTTTCCATGCTCCTGCAATCCTCAGTGAATGATTAAAGTGATAGAATCTGCTGTATTTTATAACTATATTTAATTTTCTATTCTCTCAAATTATAAGTATTTTCTAGCCAATTGTGAATCTGACTGCTTGAAAAGCAGCACTTAATAACTGTAGTACTTTTAAAATGGCCTTTTGGTATAACTAAGTATACATTGCAAAAGAAGGTTTATTTTTCAATAATATTTTCTGTTTACATTTCTTGTAAGAAGTGTTATTTTTAACTGTTACTGTTTTAGTTGTGACAGTAAAGCTTTGCTTTATGAGTCAAAACATATTTTAGTTAGTGAAAACATAGCTAACTTGTCAGTGACATGATGAAGCATATTAAAGAACAGAACATTTTTTTTTTTCTTTCCTATGAAGTCCCTTCTGGTCATCCTTGCTCATTTCAAACAACCTTAGATTGTTGGATACTTAGTATAGATGCTTTGCTTAATACATGAAATAAACTAATGACACTTGGCCACTGACTAGTCAGCACCTCTGTAATCCCAAACCAACTCTGACACTTTGCCTTTTTTTATTCTTAATTTGGTTTGGTTTGGCTAGCCAGCAGACCAAACTACTCTAAGTAACAAATGTGAAATGACCTGAAAGTATGTAGCCTGTGGGGGACAGGGAAGAAGCCAGTAACACTGTGGAAGAGAGATGAGAGGCATCTGAGGGTACGGTAGTGCAGGTGCTTGGGGATGTAAGTGTAGCTTTGGCTGTTTCCTATACTGGTAAAATATGTGTGCCCAGGAGTGATTTTTAGTGTTGAGGCCCACTATTAAACTCTCTTAACCCCAAATCAGAGCGGCTGTATGCAAACTGCCTATTAATAACGGTCCATACTAACTCCTAAACTGTACCCAGGAATTGCTTGGGTGAGTGTTAGGTGGTTTGGACCAAAATGGTGCCGAAGATAATGCAGCCAATATAGCCTGGCAGTATTTACTGCTATGTCTTAATTTATTGGGATAGATGTAGTCTGGGTGCCCAGTCTCATGTCCAGTGAACATGAGCTAGTGGTGTCTAACAGAAGGTGTTACCTAGGGAGAACTTGGAGCTCTTGCCCGATGGGCTATCAGGGAGATAGGTACGATAGTTCATTGCACGGAAGGCTAAGGGGAACATAACACATTCATAGAAAGCTAGGTTTCATTAGTTCCACTGTTTACAAAACAGCTTTTTGTATTAAAGTTTTTTGTAAAACATTCTGAATTTTTTTGATGAAAAGATAAAGCTGTGTAATATTTTTATTTGCCTTCAAGCTTTGTTTGGATTGCATTTGTAGGCTTTTCTCCGCAACCAGGAGGGCCTAACATTTTTTTCTTTAGAGAAATGAGTTTCATGTAATTGCTTGTCTGCTTTATGTAAAATACAACTGCTTATGTAAACATAAATATTTAGAGATTTGTAATAAAGTTAGATTGCTGGCAGATATTAATCTTTGCATTGAAAGCTGTCAGCTGGCTACAATGTGACTTCCTTGATCATGCTGTCAGGATAGGAACCTAATTAGAAAGGCTTCAATATAAATGGCTTCATGGGTCATTATTATTTAAATAAACTGTAGGTTTTTTTAGAATACTGGAGGACTACAGTACTGAAGTATTTGGCTATGGCCCAGAAATATATAGCTAATTAAACTGCTGTACTGTTGGCTTTTTATTTACTCTCAAATAACAAGTATCGGATAGATGCTGAAAATCCTGAGCTGAGATTTGATGGCAGAGAACTTCTAATAATTTAGACAAATAGTCTAGAAATAGATATTTCCTTAAAAGACCTGTAGTCATCCTTGATCTTAATTAGCATGCATTCAATTGTTAGGTTAAAGTCTATGGACCAGTTATGTTAATGAAAGTTGTTAATTACTTTAAACAGAATGGTGAATTCTGAGGAAGAAGCAGCTGGTGTGTTGAGCCACTTCTAACTGAGGACTGAAAATGCCAGCAGGTAAAAATACTTTGTGTTTGATTTCCAATACATATTTTATATTCAGAACTAGATGCAAATGATAGGAGTTACTTCTGTCTATAAATTTTTTAATGCTGCGTTGGGTCCATTTTGAGTCCATGTTTATAGCTGATTTTCAAAGTGTTGGGGGTTTTTTTATTTTTTTATTTTAAATTTGGGGGCTTTTGTAAAAATTGTAATTACAATGGTAAATATGTTGTAGCTGAGGATTCCACAGCCTTTTTCAGTGGTGTGCCAGACTGCATTTTTAATTCTTTAGCTACAAATTAAGTAGTACCTCATGGGGGCTAGAACACCTACTGCTTCAAGGGTTGAAATGCTGCTGATCGCAGTGTCATGATTCACAGAAAGGCAGGGGCTCTCAGCTCCAGCTGATTTCGGATCTGTGCATGCTCCTGCCTCTTGCAGATCTGTGTCAGGGTGGTGCTCCTCTGGGTTCCAGACTCAGTAAGAACCCAGACCTGCTGCTTCTCCTGGAGACAGCGTGTCACCTCTGTTATCAGTGTGCTACCATTCATAAACAGCGAGGGCAATAATCTGCGCTCTGCTTTGGCTAGCCCAAGTTTTCTGCTGGTCCTGATGTGCGTGCCCTTCAAAATGCGCTTTCTTCAGGAAACAGAGTAGACGGTGCCAACTTCAGCAACAAGTAGTAGCCTGGTGCGTTTGTACAATGTTGCTGAGTTATCCTTGTGTGGTTTATGTTGTCAGTGGAAATTCTGAACGGAATACTAAGTGAATTTCTTGGTAAACTTTCCCTGATAAAATAATTCTAGTCCTTTGCAGTTTTAAAGCATGATTACGCACTTTTTAAACAATGGTGATTATTGAGCTAGTGAATCATACTCTAGATTTCTCTTTGCAGTTGAAAGTGAGGCAAAGGCAAAAACCAAAGTCCGCTTTGAGGAAATCTTCAGACGTCATGCTGGCCTAACAGACACAAAAAAATCAAAGAAAAAGAAGTTTGAGTCTCAAGAGAATATTGTGGTGAGTTTGAACACAGGCAAGCTTTGTTTGGTTGCCTTCCTTAATAGAAAAAAGATCAGGAAAATGTATTTTAGAAAGAAGATGTAAGCATTTTAAAAAATAAAGTATAAAGTGTATTTCTGCACATATCCTTTGTTTTTGATGTGGCTTTTATTTGTTGTTTGTGTACCAGCAATGCATCCTTGTAATTTAGAGGTATGCCAAAATTACATAGAATATAATACTGGTAAAAAGAAAGCAGAACATGCAGGCATGCACTCATTTAAAGTCTGCCAATACTTTTTTTCCATTCACATTTTTCAGAAAAGTTTTAAGATTTTCAAATTCACTATTGACTTTAGCGGGAGTTTGAGTGATGGGCTAGTAGAATTACGGCTGTAAAAGTATTTAATTTTGAGAGTACTCTATTTGTGTAATACAGGTACATCTGTGTAATACATCTGTGAATTGAGAACGGATGAGAATTTATAATATCAGAGATAATCATTAACTTTATTCCATTACCTAAAAATTCCTGGTATAAGAATTTACAAACAATATTAAACAACATTTGAAACTTTTTTTTTCAATTTGATCTCAGTAATCAGCATATTTCTGCATTTGTGCTGAGCTTTGTGTCTGAGTGGTCCCGTGTTTACGTGTCTACTTAGGCAGTCCACGTGTATAAAGATTGGCTTTGAAGATTTTGGCCTTGGCACGTGACTTGCAGATTAGGAATGATTCTATTACCCTGACCTTATGGTTAGATGACATTTTTGTTTGTGGCATATCTCTCATTAAAAGAGCCTCAGAGATTCCTCTGAGTTATGGTTCATATTGTAGCTTTTTTCCTGAACAGAAGAATAAATTTTTAATATGAGTCCTATATATACCAATTATTGATTTACAATGTTTGGAATTTCAAAAGAAAGCAATTTGCTTAAAAGACAAATGTTCTGGTTTTTTATTTTCCCCTTGTTAGGTTTTATATTTTCAGTCTTTTCTCTTACAATTGCATCCATACCAGATGCTGGAAGTGAGTGTCCGTTCTTTAATACTCATTTAAGACAAAGGAGTGGTATTTTATATGATATCAGAATATTACATGTATTTGTTATATATATTTGGAATAGTTATATTAAACTTAGTATTGTTATGCTGAAACATAATTTTGTCTTTAGATTGATGATTTGAAGTTGATATTTGTGTGGATTTTTTTTAATTTTGCATTCCTTGAAGTATATGGTATTTAGTCAATAGTCTATAAAAAGAATCAATGTGATGTCTAAAATATAGCATAGAAGAGTTAGAGGGTGGTTTTTTTCCCTTTTTTTTTGCTGACGTGTAAATACAAGACTAAATTCTTCCTTGGTTAGGTTTACTTTTTTGATGAAACATGAGTTTTTAAATCTGTACTTTTTAAGTATAAGTATTGTTGTGGACATAATTGTATGTTCATATGCAACTACATATTACTCATAAATATTTTAAACTTTGGTTTTAAAACTGATTTCCATTCCAGAAGTCTCTGATATAAAACACTAGTGATTTGGAGTTACCTAGAAAGACTTAAAAATCGCAGTGAACTCAATCAAAAGTTAATGGTATACGCACAAATTAAGAAGCGCTTTTAGGATCAGTGTGGAAGCCTAACTTTATGGTTTTGTCAAAGCCATAGATTTTTACCAATCAAAGCACAAAAAACTAAGAACTTGAGGAGAACATGTGTTGAAACCTAATACTGACCTTTTGAATATTTCCTTAAAGTGTGGCAAAATTGCAAGAGCTCAGATTGGTATTTTCCATGCTGGTTGCATTCAAGTAGAAATTTCTGTAAAAGCTTCAGCAAATAACCAGTCATTTCTTTGTAAGAAATACATGTGTATGGGAGGGGAAGAGGAGGTAGATGGAGGATGCTGGCTGGTTTTGTTCCAGTTTTCTTCACTTTATATTATTTAACTGTATAGAGTTTCACATGTCTTGAAATAACGTGAAATTTATCAGTGATGGTTGTCTTTGTGTCACGCACTTGCCATAAATGGTCTCTCAGGTTTGATCAGAAACAGGTCATGGTTGAGATCATACTTCCACTGGAAATGTTCCAGTCTGCTTCTTTCTTTTGTCTTTACTGAACATAGACTTTGTTAGATTAATAAAACCTTTTCCATCATAGTCTACTGTTTTCTTGAAACCTGAGTTCTGGAGCTGCAGGAGGTTGCTGTGATCTTACCCTCACTTCTGTCGTTTAAGGAGGTTGCCTGCCCACTTGCGTGCTCCGCTCTGTGTGCCTGTTGCCTGGAGAGCCTGCCTGGAGAGAAGGGAAGCAGGAAGAGGAAGGGGTGATGTCAGTAGAGCAGAATGAGTTTGAAGTGACAACTGATAGGAATGAGGAGCTTGTAACGGAGATGGAGATAGATGTCAGCTGTGGCCATTGAAAGGTCTGCTTTGTTGTTCAATAGCCACAGGTGCAGTGGGTATGAGGCCTGAAGGCATGGCTTGAAAGAACAAGCAATTCGGACATAGTCAGAAAGTGAATTTGCTAGTATCCCTTCCAGGGCTAACAGTCACCATATTTATTTTTTACCAGTTGTACCTCCTATTACAAGTTGTTAGAATGAGACAAGCCTCAGACTAAGCAATGCCCAGATAGATTCATCTGTCTAAAGTTAGTGTGAAAATGATTAAATTTGTTTGGTTCAATCTAAATTTCATGGTGGAAAAGAGGCTGTTTAACTCGGAAAATGTCAGTGAAGTTTTCTACCAGGTGAAAAGCAAGATCCCTTTATGGAGGCAAGAATTTCTTCCCTAGACTGTAGTCTGACAAGCTTACAATATTGGGATGGGCACGCATTGATAGCTAAGGTTTTGTATTCAAGGCAGGACTGCAACAGATTTATCCATTTGAAGCTTTTTACTTCCTACTTCACTGAGTCTGCTCCTTCCTATTCTTCATAAGGCCCTGGATGATGGGTTGGAGTCTGGAGTTTCATGAGGGTACAGGTAATCTCCAGGCTTGAAAATTCTTGTATTCTTTTGGGTAACTGGTTTCTTGTAATTCAGTACTTTAGCTTCTGTCTTAGATGTAAAACACAGCCTGCAGAGCTTCGAGGTTGTAGAATTTTCCCCAGGTCTGTTTCATAGCCCATTTTTTTCCATAAGCTGAGTAATTGTTGAGCTTTCCACTGTTTTATTTTTCCCTTTGTTTCTTATATTTAAAATAGGAGAACTGCTAATAGTTGACTATATGCTTGACCTACACATTTTCTCAATGTTTTCTGTTAAAATTCGGTGAAACTTCTCCAAGCCCATCCTATCTGTAAATTAAAGTTCTTCTAGCTTTGAGCATCTATGTTTTGTGGTTTTATATGAGGAATGGCAGTAAAATTGGTTCCCTAGTATATTCAAATTTTCTTAAACATCCCACCCAACTAGCCATCATGACAAGTCCATTCATTACCAATTCACTTGTCAGTAAATGGTCTTTTACAACCAGTACATATCAGCCCCTCAGTGGGCTGGCAATGTCCATTCCTAATTTTTCAAGGTGTGCCTGTATTATGGGAAGAAGTTCAGGTACCTCTGTAAATGTGGTTATCTGAGTTTCCAGATACCCTGGGCAAAATCACTTGATGTGTTTCCAGGTTCCACACATCCATATTTGAGAAGCCTTTTTAAAAAGGAGTAAGATCATTAGGCGTTGTCCCTGCTGTCAGCTCTGGAACACGAATGGCAAGTGACGTGACCTGGGGTTAGCTCATTGTGGGACGAACCTTGTGTGCTAGCCCACCTGTGTGCATCTTGGCTGGCGCCCATCTGTCACTCCTATCAAGCCAGGAGTGCAAGCAGGTCTGTTCTCAGGGAAGAGTGCTTCCTCAGCCCTGGTGGTGTAATGTGGCTGTGGAGCTGTTTTGAAAAAAAGCCTTCTCATTTGTTCCATGCTTTAAGCTGAGGAGGTCAGGTTCAGGTCAGCAACCCTCTGGAATTACTCCAGAGACAGGGCTATCCTCTGAGCTGCTTTTCCAGCCTAACCGCTTTTTCTAACTCAGTTCAAGTGTATTTATATACAGCCAATTGCTCTTAGTTGAGCTCTCTCGGTCCTGCATTTCAGAGAGAGAATCTATACCAGTATCCCTGCTTCTGCCTGAGACCTGATCTGATGGTTTTTATGAACCGCTTGGCTTTTACTTGATTGTTTTGTGACTCTCTCCCATCTTTCATCTCTGTTTAATTACATCATGTAATTACAACATGTGGAAAAAGTGGCCTGAGTTAAAACCATACAGGCTATGTATCTGAGGAGTTTGTGTTTGAACTGCTGAAACAGCTTTGTGTGCTGCCTGCAGTATCTATTCATGTTCCTGGAATTTGCTGTAGTTTGAGATTGTGGTTTATTTCATTATGAGGATATTCTGTATTTTTTTTTCTATGAGTAAATTTGCTATAATTAAGTGAGTGTGTGCTGCTACTATTCATGACACACACTTGTGGATGTATCTTTTTGTTTGTAGGCATAACAAATAACAAGTTCTAGTAAATATTTCAAGCAAGTTTTTGCAACAGGTAGGTTTCTTTGAGAAAATGATTTTTGAATATCAGAATTATTTTAGAAACTCTTGAACAGGTCAAAGATGAGGGCTTTTTGTTTAGGATTTCTTACGGAATTCTACTTCTCGGGCTTAATGGATTAATGTTCTATCAAAGGCAAAAATCAGCGTGACCTTAGCTATTGGTCGCAGTTGGGTCTTAACTGCCAGTGTGTTTTAACCTTCATTCCTTACACTCTGCAGTTAAAGCTATTTGTAGAAATGCAGATAAGGAAGTGGACAATCTATTAGAAAGCTTTTTTTTTTTTTTAGTTTTATATAAAGCTTGTTGCTTTGATTTTTTTAATTTCCCTTCCTCTATTCTGTATTTCAAGTTATTTATATGAAATCTTCCACATCCTCTTAAATCATTGACTTATGAATAAAGAGGATGTTACTGGTCTATTTAAGCAAGTGAAAGACAGGTTTTTTCATGATTTGATATTGAGATAATTTAAACTATTTTTAGACATGGGATGCTAAAAATAAAGGTACCTACTGAAAAGATATATGAATGGCTTCAGATTTTTTCTGATGTATTAGATAAACATACTTGCATGAAATTCTAGATGATTTTGTTTTTAACTCATACTTTAATAGGACAGTGTTGTTTAATATGTAGCATTAGTAAGTCTAGTTAGTGCATTTTTAAGCTTTGTCTCTAGTTTCAGACATCAGCTTCTATTTCTGTGTTAAATTTTGTCTTGGTGTATATTTCTTGTGACACTGCTTTTATTTGATAATTTTCCTGTACAAATAATAAAATTCCTTGATTTTTTCTCTTCTGTGTTTTTACTTATGCACTTCAAACTTTCCTTTCTTTTTCTTCCCTTCTCCTTCTTCAGTACTTATAATACTTTCCTTGCTCTCCATATTCTCTCTTCAAATGTCAGATGTGAATAAAACATGATAGTGATGAAGGCTATCAGGCTCACATAATTGAGGGCATACAGTATGGAGGCAGATGACTTGTACATTGAGTGTTCTCTTCTTTCTAGTCATGGAATATTAATGCAGGTGGGCATTTTTAAGTCAAGATTCATCCTCCAAGGCATGATTGCTGTTGCAACTTCATTCTCTGTTTTTTTCTTCTTATAAGCTTGTACATTTTGGTGATCACTTATTACACATATTGTCCTTTTGTAAAAATGTTTGAGGCAAACATGATTCTATAACTGGGAGAAGTATCCCAGCTAGAAGGGGAAGATGCCTGTGTTTACTGAGGGAGGAAGATGGTCTTGGCAAAGAAAAGATTGTGTGCAGATACTTATATTTTCTCCAACTTTTTTTTTAATTTGCTTTCTTTATGTTTTTAAGTCCTTTCTAATGTTTCTCCAGAGTTTTATGTAAGACAACAGAGTAAATGAACCTCAGTGACTTTATAGAAGTTCCGTCAAGGAACAGAGATATGTATGTCAAGCTTCTTACAGAATTAAGCCTTAGTTACTTGCTGCGTTGTTTGGAGTTATCATAGCATGGTTTGGATTGGAAAGGACCTTTAAAGATCCTCTAGTCCAACTCCCCTGCAATGAGCAGGGACATCTTCAACTAGATCAGGTTTCTCAAAGCCCCCTCCAACCTGACCTTGAATGTTTCCAGGGATAGGGCGTTCAAACTTCTAGTAACCAGGAATAGAAACCTGAAGGAGGGAGGAAAGTTTACAATGAGTTTTCTAAAAAACACCAAAAATTGGCAGAAGGAGTGCACAGACAAATGCATTAGCTGAAATTTATCTTAGCTGGTTTTACTAGACTTGGTTTTTAGATCAACTCTTTGTTATTCTACTAAGAATAATGGAGGGGGGGTTATTCAACTTTATGCTTTTTTTAAAAAAAAAGTCTTAATGGAAATCTGTTTTTCAGTTTTAGCACTTTTTAATATAATTTCATTGTCAAACTTTGGCAAGCAACTTTCAGTAAAAGAGACTACAAACAACTGAGCCTGAAGCCTGTCTCTAACATGTATTTTAAATAGATGAAAATACTTGATTTCGTGCTGCATGTAATCTTCAAGTCTTCCATAGTCTAAAGCATTGGCATCTGTTTATGGAGTAGACTTGTTGATGTCTTTTTTTTACTGGATATACATAAAAGTCATTAAAAAACATAGTGAAACAAAATTGAGGATGAAATGCCCAAATGCAAAATGTTTTTTTTTCAGTGTGAATTTTCTGTTGCATTTCAATCTGTGACTTCTAAAATTTAAACAAGAAAATAACTAGATCTTTGATATCCTTTTACTTTGTGTAATGTTGCTAAAGAAATAACATAAAGTACTGTGTATGTCCTTAGAACATAATTTTTAGTACAAGTATGTTTTATGTTCTTTTCATTTATAGCTTGACACCTTTAGAAGTAATATTGATCTAGCTAAGGAAAGTGTGAATGATGAAGCAATTATAAACAACACATATAATCCTGAAGAAGAGAGTCCCCGATTTACAAAAAATAAACTGAGAGAGAAAGCCTCAATTGCAGAGAAAATAAACAATGATATTGTTAGTGGAGAGGAGAGCAAGCAACCAAAGTCTAACAAGAAGAAAAAGAAATCACTGTTACAAGAACAATTTAATGAGGAGGAAGATTTATATGAAGCTAAATTGGAGAGTTTTGAGAAAAAGACTAATGATTTTCCAAAGAAGAAAACAAAAAGTAAATCACAAACAGATGTATCTCATCAAGAAGGTGATAGAAAGATTAAAAATTCCTTGACTGAAGCGAGAAATGTAACTGAATTAGATGAGGAAGAAGAGCTAATTCGAGCCTATCAACTGCATGTGGCTGAGGATGAGGCAAATGCAATTAAAAAGAAAATAAGAATGAAACTTAAAGAACAGATGTCTGAATTTACCTCCAGTGTTCAAAGCCATGAAGTTGTATTGAACAATGAAGTGGGCAAAAAGAAGAAGAAGAAGAAAGAAGTAGCAGTTTTAAGTGAAGCTGAAACAAGGTACCATGATAAACTGTATACCATGTGTCTGTAAATCTTAAGCAAAATGTTTCATTTTGTTTTAAGATAGGCAGAAGCTTTCTGATAAACTGTACGTGTTTTCTAAGTGATGAACTGGATGATTCTGTTATGAAAAAATATTACCAAATACTTTTTCAAAATGCTGTCAAGATTAATATTTAACTCACAGATTCTGTTTAACCTTTTAAAAAAATATCCTCCATTACTATCTGATGTTTATTTTCTGTGGAAGTCACTCTTAACTAACTTAAGATAATTTTGTGCATGGTTTTTTAGTGATGAGTGATGGTCCTGATCTAGCAGAAGAGTATTAGCTTAGCTCTGTTCACAGGAATGGTTCTGCAATTATCTGGAAATTAGGGGAAAATGAAGGGGGGAGAGAAATGAAAAAGGCAAGACACTGATGTTGGGGGTGTGTGTTGCATTTTCAAGATACACAGATAATGAGTTGCAGAACTAAAGAGGAAACTTCAGGTGGATTAATAATGGTAATGAGCAATTGTATCCATATATGCAGTAAAATGCAATTGCTGACAGTAATCCATTACATTGCAGTGCAATGTCCCTTTCTGAGCTACAGCATCATCCAGCAGAAGATGGCAATGAAAATCAGTCATTGGAAAGACTATTTACATCAGAAGGACAGAAACTGGAGGAAAGCATGGAAAAACAGAAACCTAAAGCAAAGAAGGTTAAAAAGAAAACCAGAAAAGGTCTGCCAACAAAATGTCAGAGTAGTGTACTGCTTTGCTGCTTTATCCAAGTCTTTTTTCTTTTCTTTTTTTTTGCACTGCTGCAGAAATATTTGTCCATAGTAGTAACATAGAAGTGATTGAGCTGTTGAAGTTACTTATGTTTCTTTAGTTACTTAATTGTATTTTTGTTCTTCCAATTTTGAGGCTGATTTAAATAAAAATGTTTGTTAATAGGAATAGATTATATTAATTAATATATATTCATGTGTATGTTCATACATGTTTAAAATGCTGCAAATTTGATAATTTTATTTTAACCTATTACATAAAGAACACATTAAATATCATTACTATTGATTGCTAAGACAATACAGAGCATTTTTATTCCTTTAAACTGTCACTAGTGGAACATAATAACCTCTTTACTTGGTTCCTATTTCTAGAAGAAAACACAGAAGTTGCTGCAGAAAATGATGAGGAAATGAAGAATTCAGAAATTTCAACTCAGTCTAAATTTGGTTTTGATGATGATCTTGTGTTGGGAGTTTATATCCATCGATCTGATCGACTTAAAACTGATCTCCTGGTATCTCATCCCATGGTTAAAATCCATGTTGTTGATCTGAGAAGTGGCTTATATGTCAAGAAGGATCATAGGTGAGTTTTGATAAACTGTTTCTATTATCAGTGATTAAATACATAGATTCTTCCCTAGAAAATTAAATATGAAAATAATGCTGAATTTTAAGCTTGCGAGGTTATTCATTAGTTTCTACATCTATGATAATGCATATATATACCTACAGTAAATTAAAGTGGTATTTTTCTTGGCACTTTTAAAAGCTCTGCACTGCTGTATTGCTCTCAAAGTGCCCATATTTACAGCACAGTTCATTCTGTATTCTTTCCAGACAGAAAATTTCCTAAATCTCAAAAATATGTAGAATCCAAGATTAGAATAAGTAAGCAAAACTCATGCAGCATAAATAGTACCTGCCTTTTCTTTTTTATAAAATAACTTCTAAAATCCTGGAATTAAGTCTGGTTCTTCATATTTCTAGTCGCTTCAGTTACTTATTTCTGCTGTCATTATGCATAATTTTCCAGGAAACCAAATTTTAACAGTGTTTAAGCAGTAGACTCTACCATAATCATTGTGCATAATTTTGGTAACAGTAACTTGATTGTTAGGATTTTGAACTTCAGCCTGTAGCATTTCTATATACATTGCAAATTGTCTTAAATTTTGGGTGGGTTTAGAAATTTTTTTTTTCTAAAATCAAACAAATGGTATCTTCTAAGTTTCTTTGCTTTCAGGAATTGAAAATACTGTTTTGTTTGAGTTGGTTTTTTTAAGGCACCGTAACAATTGTAACTGTTTGAAAATTTTTAAACAGCAAGCGGAAAGTTTCATCTTATTATGAACAAGAACAAATAGAGCACATTCTTCCTATTATGACGCAACCATATGACTTCAGACAGTCTAAATCAACAGTTCCAGAGTGGGAGGAGCAAGTCATATTTAATGAGCGTTTTAGTTATTTTATTCAAAATACTGAAGAAAGCCCTCGGGTAATCCTGTTTTTTGAGGTAAGGTTAAGTATTTTACATCAAATTTCTGCATGTTATGATTTTCTGTTTGTTCAACAATATATATTTGCCTGATGTCAGGTGTTTTGTTTTCAGTTATATTGGGTTAATACCATAGCCTTAAGATACAGAATTAAGTGGAGATACCAAAAAGTGGTCTATATGATTTGTGAACTATATAGGATTTATGAAAATTACACATGAACATTTTCCTCTTCTATTGAGAGAGAAGGGAAGCAAGAATAGTTTTTTAAGACCAGCCTTACGTTCTTTTTTAAAAGCATGTCATAAATAGTCATCAGGTAAATGCATAAGGATCTGTTATTTCTAATTGTATACTTGTGTGGAAGAAGTACGGTTTTTGTAATTGCTTAAAATTGAAATCTGCTTAATTTAGTGAATTGCATCTAGCGTATTTTCAGCAGTATTTTTTAATTACCATGAAGTTTATATTAATTAGAAATATATTTATATTCCTACCAATACTTTCAGATCCTCGATTTTCTAAGTATGGATGAAGTGAGAGCCAACTCTGATGTACAAATTCAAGAAAGTGGTTTCCGAAAAATTTGTTGGGCGTTTCTAAAGGTATTGTAAACATTTAAATGAAGAAACAAAATTTATAAATCTTTTTATTCAATTATCTAAAAGACACTAACTGTACTAAGTGCACGTTTTTTAATATTTCCAGGCAACAGAGATGGAAAAACAAATCCTTGCTTGCTTGGCTGTTCTTTCCTTTCCCTCTTCCTTCGCCCCATAAAATTCACAGTAACAAGCTCGACAGTAAAGAATATGTATTTTTCAAGAAAGTATAGAATGTGTAAGAATTTTTTTTTTTTTGTTCGTAAAGTACAGAAGGAGGTTTTCTTTGAGGGTTTTCTGTGTGTTCATGAGATTGTCTCTGCAAAGAAAATGACAAATCCACTAATTTCTGTACCTCAGCTATTCTGTATTCTAGTGGTATTTTCAGTTGGCCAGTCTTTGAAAAGACTCCCTAGCCTAATTATAAAATGCCTGTTGTTTTTAGTTGCAGAGATTGAAATGCTGCAGCAATGAAATACAGGTCATTTAGCCAGCATGTCGTGTACCTTTTTAGCCTTCTAGGAGAGACTTGAATGTTCCACTTTGGCCTTTGAGAGCTGACAAGCCTTAATTTGCCTGACGATTGTTCATTTAGACCTACCCCTGTGGATGGTAGATCTTGACAGCCATTGACCAGTCCACAAAATGAGAAATGCTGGAGATAATGGACTGCAAGTTTAGGGGAAGGGAGAGGGCCCTCCATATCATTCCATACAGAGTCTCTTCTCAGCGCTGCCCAAGATGAATCTACGGGAATCAGGAGTCTGGTATCCCGTGCCTGGGTGTATAGCTGGTGGAAACTGTGCATCCAGGAATTCAGTACAGCCTACTCCTGAACAAAGGGAAGGATGAATTTCCAGCTCATAAATATAAATAAAACTGTGGCCTGTTCTTCATTCCTACTGCATCTGTCTGCATTATCCTTTCATTTGTATCAGTCAAAGTAGAAATGTCCTGATAAACAGTGGTCAGTGTTAATTGCAGTAGGTACACTTGTTCTTTAGTTCAATAGAGAGAACTCTATTTCCTCTGAAGTTGGAAAGGTTACTACTTTGCTGTATCTTCTGCTCAGAGTCAAAGCCTTACCAGTGCCCTTCGCTGCAGCGTTCAAAGGGGACAGATTTGGAACAGGCTCTTTGTGGATTGACAGTCCTTTGAGATTTGGGTGATTCCAGCAAGTAGTAATTAAAAAAAAAAAAAAAAAAAAGTTACTGCAGAGGTCTTCCCACATACAGGATATTACTGTTGTGCATATGAAGCATGTTTCAAAACTAGGCCGCCATCTAAGCTTTAATCTTAGTGATTTGATCCTGGGGGTGTTTAATACATGCTTACTTCATTACCATTTTTAGGGATAGTATATTTCCCCAATGGGAAGTGGATTTTGGAGTTTATCCTGTAGTTGTTTAAGATACTAGAAATAATCAATGACTTTTATTACTTTTATGTTAACGTAACACATTTTTTCCTCTTTTTAATCACCCTTTCAGCTTGTAGGTGCAAATGGAGTTCGAAACATTGATGGAAAACTTCGTCTGCAGTTATATTACCCACCTCCAAGGACCAAGTCACATTCGAATGTTATTGAGGTTTATGACTGGTGGGCAAAATGTCCTAGAAATCGTTACCCATCAACTTTGTATGTAACCGTGAGAGGCATAAAACTGCCAGGTCATGTAAGTTAAATATATAATATATAAATAGATTTACAAATATACAGACTTTTCTGTAGGAACTAGTAACTACCTAGAGCATGTGAGTGTGTGTTTTTGTATGAATGTATATAAAAGCTGTACTTACATGCAGTATATAAAATAGCTAGTATGTAACTAGCTATAATTAGAACTTTGCATCTTAAGATACATGTTCCAAACTCAGGCCTTCATAGCTATCTTTGAAAAACAGGAGTACTTTCCCATCAGCAACTTTGAATATTTTGCCATTGACAGTCAGAAAACTTTCAGGTTACTTTCTTGAAGATTGATGTTCCTTCTCATTAGGAGAAAGGCCATTTTAAGTCACTGGACTTATGCAGATGTGTAAATTCTATAAGTGAGAGAAGATGTAAATCACTTAACTGACTCCCTGCATCCTCAATCTATAATGAGTCGTATTTTTTTCTCAAATGAAAACTGATTTAAAGACAGGCTTACATTGGTATGTGCTGAGATGTGCATTCCAGATAAATACAGCATTTATTGTTCTACAATGCAAGTACAACGTTGTTCTATTAAATAATTTTCCATATGTATTTACAGTTTTCATAAGTCTTTCTTCTGCTCACTGTTCATACAATCAAGGGTACTCTGTGAAAGCCTGGTGAGATGTGGTTCAAAACCAAGATAATCTGTGGGGTTAGTTCATATGTTTTTGGGACATTTTTCTAATCTGTGTACTGGAATGACATCTGCAGATCTCTTGCTCAGTCAGCTGCAGAGGTTGTTAGGAATTCTGTGTGCTTTGCTTGAGCAGCTGTTCTTCATCTTTCTGGAAGTGTTCTGAGCCTGTCTTCATGGTCTGAATGTTCTCCTGGTATGTTTAGGTGCTATCACTGTTTTACAGCTGTCCTTACTTTACAGTATTCTATGAAGCTCAAGTGATGTGATGAATTTGTGTAGGCTTTCTGAGCTGTGCTTGACTTGGATCCGTTGGCTACTGATATTATTTCATTCTTGTTCTGATAAATGCCAGATTTGCCAAGGCTAGGATTGAGCTCCAGATAAGAGCCATGGGATGATACAGTTTTCTATGCATAGGTTTCTGCTTCCATTTAAGATCTCTTACAGATCTTGCCTAGTCTCCTGCCTCTTCAGAAGGGTGCAGATCTCCCATACCTCTTGCATGGGCTGGTAGATAAGAAAATAGATGTCTCAGATAAAACAGGACATCTTGCATGAAAGTAGACATCTATGTGTGGACAACTGATTTAAGTTCCTAAATTGATTTCTACTTGCATAGTACGTGTCCAACCTCCCTCTTTAGTCACAAGAACTTAGACAGTTCACCCTGAAGTGGATACCTACCAACTATCAGCCTGGAAGAAAACGGTAATTTTGTCTGGTATTCAGATGTGTTTCTGGAGAGACTTGTCTTAGTGAAGTCAATCAGAACTGCAGCTGCCACTTAATGGCCTCTGTGCCCCTCAGCCATGGGACTTCTAGGCTGCTTCACAGCATTAAGGCTTCCTGTGTGCTCAAGCTTAGTGTAACTTGTAGGTAAGGTTCAGTAAGTGTACTTATAGAAGTTTGGAACGTATATATGCTTTACCTACATGCTTTACCTAAATTAAAATCACAAATGTGGTCAGTCCTCCTTTTTTTCTTTGCAACACTTGAACATGGTTTGTTCGATACACAACACTGGTAATACCTTTTGGTATCATGCATTGATTTTGTTGCCGAAGCAGTGTTTTGATTTGAAGGTGGTAGGTTAATGTCACTGGAACTATTTACGTGCTGAAATTCTATATTTTTTTTTTAATACAACACCTTCACCAGGTAGACTAATTTTCACTGACCTGGTAAGTTAATAAAAATAGAAAAGTATCGATTATTTGAAAAATCTTTGATACCATCTGATTGACACAACTTTGGAAGCTCAGATTACTTTCTGACATGCTGGTTACTTAAATGAAATTTCTGCTACGCAGTTTTCATATATTAAGCTTTTTCCAATCTCTATTTTTCAGATGTAAGAATGCAATGTATTTGAAAAAAATCTTCTAATCTTTTCAGCTATTATGCTGTTCATTTTAAAAATGTTTTTTCCTGAAACTTAGTTTTGTTTGCCTTAAGGTTGCTCCTTCTTTCCGCTCTATGATAGCTGTTCAGAAAAAAAGCAGGAACAAAGTAGTGCAACACTGTGTGAGCTCCAGAGAGAGGGATCTAAAAAATCAGGTGAACCTTTTCCAGAGGAGAAAAAGGAGCCATTTAAATGGACAAGATTGCCTGGACAGGTGAAGTGTTTTTATTTGCTTTTTAAAGGAAAATGCTTTAAAGATCTACTATCTTTTTATAACTTTGTTTTTATGATATAAGTATTATGAAGCAAGTCATTCATTAAAGCAAATTAAAAAAAATACTAAACAAAAAACAAAACATAAGGAACTCTCAGAAATAGTAGAGGATGCTTAGCTTCTTACCAGATACAGTTGATGTAACCATTTTTTTCCAGAACAGTCAGTTATTTTTATCTCCAGAATTCTCTAGGAATTTGAAAGAGTAGGGCTATTCAGGTAGTGGAAGTAAGACAGGAAACCAGCTCCCAGATTTCAGCTTGACTGGAAATATATATTCTTTCTTTTTTTTTTTTTTTCCCCCCTCTTTTTTTTTTTTTGTTTCATCAGTTAAAGTTATTTTTACAGTATGACAGAATTATGAAGTAACTTTCATTGAAGAACCTTATTAAGAATGTCCTTGCTGACTTCATCCTAGCTCCTAGATGACTGTAGCTAATGGAAATTAGCAATCATCAAAGGAATATTTTTGCAACTATGTAGAATGTCCATGCAATGATTTCATATTTTTCTGTAGAATGGCATTAGCATGAGTTCATCGTTCTATAAAACTTTGAATAATAAAAGATTTGTTAACAAACAATGTTGATTTTCATTTTGATTCCATACTGTAGGCCTTATACGGATCCTTTCAAAAAGAACACTTAAATATACATGGTCTTAATTTTATTTTCCAGTAAAGTTTGCTAATAATAATAAAATAGTAAAGAATAGACAAGTCTGTTTTTACAATGGAAATTTTTTTTACCAAAAATGGCAGGATACCTAAAAGGTGTATTTATGTTAATGTTTGTTACTTTTCAGAAAGTTACCATTCTGAAAGTAAGTGTGTAATCAAAACCAAGAGAAATATGATCCTAAGAATATTTGCCTGCCGTAATACAAGTAAAATTTGGCAGCTCATTTATTCTTAGACTAGTCCATGTCCATATTGAAGAACTTTAGTAGCAACGATGATGTATTTTGTGATGTGCTGTCTTGTGAAAAAGTTTCAGTAAGGTTAGCGTGATGTGGCATGTCTGTTTGCCAAAGAATATTAAAGCAGATGTACTTGTTTAAAAATGAATAATTGCTCAAAATTATTATTTCCTTTTTATACATTTAAATTATTATTTTACCTTTAAAGCTAAAATACCTTTATAAAGAACCACAATATATTTGTGTATGTCTCTATAGATATAGATAGATGGATGACGTTATTTTTGCAAAATGTTCTATAGAATTATGAATTATTTGACATATGAATTAAATATGAAATTCATTTTATATGTGAATTGTAGCTACATGACCTGTAAATAAAAGAAGTTTGTTCTGACCAGAATTATTGACTCAACATTGTAATGCTTTATTTTAGAGAGGTTAAAAAGCATAAGAAGGCTTAACTGCTTGTACAGTTTCTGACAAGATGTGTTTACCTTCATTCTGAAGTGAACAGTGTATATTCAGTTATGTCATAAGTAGATCTATTTGTGTACTTTTAAATGCATATGAATCTGTTCATACTCATTTTCCATTCATAAAGGTAAATCAGGTTTAGGTTAAATAATCACATAACTACTCTGGATATTTTAATTACCCTTAAACTTTGAATTTAGTTCTGGAGAAAAAGCCCTTGGGTGAAACAGAGGAAATATTTTGGGGGAGAGGAAGGGCGACTATAATACCTGTGCAATTTTTTGAAATGTTTCGTCTCCAGTTATGCTTAAAAAAATAAAGAATTGAAATACAGATGAGGAATGCTAAAGGAGATTTGTAGACCAAAGGTTTGAGCGCCTGTAGTTAGTCTTCTGAGTTCACACTGCAATCATTAAGCTACAAAAAGTTGTGCTTAGACTCCTTAAACAAGCTTGACTTACAGTCTAACTCTACAGTTTATATTATTAATGATAGTCATCGTTAAGCACTTCTTAAGGAAATTATTTCAATTTTAAATTTTCTTAGGATTTTAAAGCTTGCTAGTTTTCTGTAATAATGGGGCAGAAACAAATATGCAAACTAGATGTGGCCTAAGTTATGCAGAAGAACTGTCTCTGTTTATAAGGTTGAATTTTTCTTTTACATTCCCTTAAGATGTTAGTAGCTTTTTAAAACTTAGAATGTGCTTTAAGCATTGGGTAGTTAATATTCATGACTCTGTAATCCCAATTCTTACCTGAAAAGCTAGGTTTGCCGCATACCGAACAAACATCTGTTTTCACTGCGAGGTGGAGATATGGGCTGTTTCTGTATTCGTTTCTCTCATGATGGGAGAACACTGGCAGCAGCATGTGCAGGAAGGAATGGCTATCCCATTGTTTGTAAGTTTAAAATAAGTTTTGGTTTGGTTTTGGTTTTTTTCTTATAACTCATGTAGTTTGAAATTAAAGGGCAAAAGATGTATTTTTAAATTTTGGGGGTTTTAGAGGTTTTGTTTTATAATTGTGTTTTGTAAATTGTTCTATGCATTGAAGAGCATTGAGGAAAATGCTCTTTCTGTGTTAATAGGACTGGAACTGGCTTTTCATACATGGTAATGCATGTACAGTTTAACGGATGAAGTCACACTATTTCTGTGCAGAGGTCTAACAGAAATACTAAGTCACTTTGCATAAGGAACATATATTTTCTGATAATAAGGTTTTAAGTGAAAGAGCTTTTCCAGCCCCCACCACATGCTTTTTGTGTAAGTTTTTCTCCTAACCTGTCATGAAAGTTAGATACCTGGAATACCATCATCTCCAGATGGAGGCTGCTGTCCTCCATGGTCCAGTTCAGTTGGAACTACAAATATTCCTTATTATTCAAACTTGGGGCTGCTTCTTCACAGTAGCCTCAACTGCATGGTTCTTAAGCCCTGCATAAGAATTTTGAGATGTAGAGAGAACAGTATTTTAAGTGTACACAAAGTAAATGTTTAAATGCAAGGAACAGTAAGTCTGGAATCCTTTATTACATGGCCCCAGAAAATGATCTCTATGTTAATCTATTTTGAAGGTTGGTTGAGTAGCTGTCAAAATTTAAAAAAAAAAAAAAAAAAAAAA